AAAGCAGGTCAAAATAAGCATTGGCATTTTTTTTTCTTGCAGTCTGATTTTACTAAGAATCTATTCACAGATAAGGACAAATGACAGAATTTCCAATCTCCGAAGATGTGGTTTTGCTCATTGTTGTGATGAATATTCAAAGGTATTCGAAAACGCCATCTTTAACGCATTTATCTCTGCATATGAAGAGGTTGATGCCATTGACGGGAAAACTTTACCGCAGGGCGAGCCACACGACTCTGAGCAATGCCGAATCGCGGCATCTGTGCAATGACCTAAAACGGCAAAGCTGACATGTGTTCCAGGATCTGTGCGTGTCAGCAGTGTGGCATTCCTTTTCATCCTAAACTCGAAACATGAAATCCGTGTGTGTGCATTAGGGCCGAACATTCTATTTGCGCAGCAGAAACCAGTCGTCATGTAACGAGCAATAAGAAAGAAATATGAAACCCTTTATTTGCTCCTTATGAACCTCTCTTTTCTTTGTAGCTGTTCAAAGTATACACTACTACATATTGTTAGGATACTGCACTACTTTTATCTTGTTGGCATTTGCTTGAAATATTTCGCTGCAATCTCCTTGATATTTTTTTAGAGAAGGGTTTCTCAATCAAAAAGACTTTTTATATGATTGAGCGAGTTTGGATTCTTTGCCGCTTAAAGGAATTATCTTGGTGCTTCTAGCACTTTTGATCACGTCCTATGAAGGCTAACAATGATGACAGGGAAGTTATGTAGATGTAGGAACAACTATATGAGCTTTCCAAAGTCAAAATAATGAAATACTGACTTTAATAAAACAGGTCAAGGATGTATATCACAAGAAAAGAGAAAAGAAAGCATTTTTTCCTGGGTATTAACGGAGGCTCTCAGATCAACAGCAAATAAAACATGTCTAGATGGCCGCCAATGACACAGGAGCACACCAGAAATGCCTGTATAGACAAATTCAGAGAAGTGGAACACATTCATCATCAATCGCTTACTTTCAGATCACAGCTTTATTACAGGCTGTGGAGATAGACAGCAGAGCGGTAAGGGGCAAAGGAGAAGGGGCATCTCTGCCCACCTGGATGTTTAGCAGTTGGCTGGGCGTTTCCATCTGTGGTGTCCAAAAACACACAATTTACCTGCCTCATTAAGGTTTCAACTCATCAAGGGATTCACACCTCTCTCCTGCACTTTTAAACTCATCAGCAGATTCCTTTTTCTGTTTTATTTAGCTTGATTTGAATAAAATTTTCCCTCAATAAACTGCAAGAAAAATATAAATTACGTTTCAGCGCAAATCAAGTCGCATTTGACTGCGGTGCATTGTTAAGAGTTATAGTATAAGTTAGCGTAACGTACCTGAAGTACAAGTTTTCTGGTTCCAAGATGTATTGAGGACAGGAAATGTCACACAATATATGCAGCTCACAATTTATGTTACATGAATATTTCAGTTCTACAGCTCGATGTGTGTAGAAGACATTCTATTTCTGGAAAGTGGTGTCATATTTATAGTACTTTGTGGATTTACATCAATCTAGCATGAAATATATTTTTGCTATTCAAAATATTGTCTCTTTTATAGTTTAACAAAATGTCTACTGATTTCCTCGGAAGGATGCACAAAGTCTGTTTGTGTCCCCGGTTATGAAGTTTTCTGTCCTTGTAGATAATCCCGTCGGTTTATTTTTAAGCTCTTGAAAGATTTGTTTAGAAGCTTATGGGCTAAGTGCTCTCTGGTTAAAGAAAAGAAAAAAAAATCCAATAACTTTAAAACCTGGGCCCCACATTTTAGGGTCTAAATGATTTGTTGGATGAAAATTGCAACAGTGACATGGTGTCAATCTAATCCAAAGGGAAGCTAATAGCTTGTTCTTTTTTATTTTTATAATCCTGACACTGTTGTTGCTAGGTCTACAGAGTAACCTCAGCAAATAAAAGTACATCGGTTATTTCTGCAGTGGCTCTTTTTGCTCTGGGCCAGAGGATTCTGTGGTCACGTTTTGATAAAAAGTAATCTGGTTTTAAAATTCTTCTCCTGTTTGATTCTCTCCTGTCAAAATGGCCGCTGTGAATGCGCCGGTCTGCATCACACAGTGTTTTTGTCTTTACGTGACGGCTTCTTAATGCCACGCTCGGTTTCTCCGTTGGTAGCCTTCCCAAGTGGGACTTTGCAAACACTGAATAAATAAATGTTAATTCCTCCGATTCAGAAGCAAGCCACACTTCGTTTCTAACAGTGATGCTGGCGTTTGACCAGGGCTACTGCCTCTTACCACAGCCCTCTCATCGCTTAGACATGATTACAACGTTGTCCTTTTTGCAACAGCTCACCTTCAACGAGATTCCTTTATTTCGGCTTTGATGCACACAATTTCCTCCTGATTTAGACTTTGGCTGCCTGCCTTTCCTCCCCCTGAAACAATTTATCAATAAGATTCTAAAGGGAAAATATGACCGATATTTAAAAGTACCACTATTTTTTTAGTTTCCAGCAAAGGCCGGCATGACTTATAATCAATTAGAACAAAACACACTATCTGAGAAGGTAGGGTGCTTAAACCACAGCAACAATTCAGTCGACAGCGATTCCCTTTAAATCAGCTTGAACTAAAACACGATCAAACTTTCACAAATTGAAAGTTTTACAGAAAGCAGTGCGTATCCCAAAAAACTAACTCTGCCTTCTGAGCGACTAATAAACTCTTCTTTTGTATTTTCCCTGTGTCAGGTGCACCCTGAGGTACTCTGGACGTCTTCCCACAGGACCGGGCTGCCAATTCACACCCAGATGCAAAGTATTTGCTTGTTTCAAAGAATTTCAAGCCGCACCAGATGCTCACTAATGAGCCCCGAAGAATTAACCCCATACTCGGACGCGATCCAAATTCTATGCCTTTCTTTTCCTGCAGTCAATTTCAGCACAACTTTTCTTTTAGATTTTTGGCAAATTAAATATCACTGCAACTGCTACTTCAAGCACAGAGAATTTTTTTCCAAACTTCGATGAATCAGAACATGAGAAAAAAAAAGAGAAAAGGCTGGGTTGTAAGAGATTATAAAGGATGCGTATAACGCAAAATGACAAAAGTAGACAGTACTGTCGTGTCTGATAAGTCAGTAAAACACTCGGAGCTTGGAGACAATGCTCAGAGGCAGCCCACAGAAGTGTGCGCTAAGACTTTTAGCGAGCTCTGCCAGTTGACTCTGGGCCACATAACCTGATGGAGCTTTGACGTTCTCGCGGGACGCGTCGTGCGGAACATGATGGGAGAGTGTTGGTGGTGTGCTCGGCAGCTTGTCTCGCCATCAAAACCGCATCGGCCGCCTCGTTCGCATTCACTCCGAACGACGGCATCAGAGATAATTGTGCCTGCTTTTAATCTTGGGGAGAAAACATGTCTGGTGAATCTTGATGAAGCTTCGTCTTTGCTGTCAGCTCCGCTTAGATGCCGGTCTAATCAAAGTGGCACCATGCTGCTAGCCCGTGGCTCCACTGTCGACAACCCTTGGGGGTTTAATGTTGATTTCCCTTTTGGACTGAGTCACTCTCGAGAGGATCCAAACGGCTCTGGCACAGGGGGGGAGAGCATCATCCCTGTCGCTGATACCTCGCTGACTGTTGTTTGATGCTAGGCATGTCTCTCCAGCCTCCTACCTCATCTATCACAGTAACTGTGAATGGCGTAAGGGGACAGCAAAGCAACAGAGGAGGGCTCCCTCCTCTCACTATGTACTTAGTAATCTGTGCCAACACTGTTCCCTGAATGGAGAATGGGGACTTTGTGTTCAGAGATTCCAGATGGGCACAGCGAAAAACAACACAGGGCACATCACAAGGACTCTCCAGTGGAATAGAGGGGAAAAGTGGATGGAGATATTGTGTTTATTCATGTGATATCAGAATGTGCCGTGTAAGAATAATTCCAAACTTATACTGTATGTCATCTAGAATGTTCAATATTTTCTTGGCCAAGCACTATATTGATTTGGGTGTTGAACTATGAGAGACTTTATGTAGATATCACTTTTTATTAGAGGATCAAAAATGAAAAAAAAATGCGGGGAAAACACATTCTGTTGTTGAAGCTAACAACTCGAAAACTCATGAAAAAAGCAGGACATTTTGTTTCAGGCCTCCCTAGATTTGAAAATCTTTCTCTCAGGCTCACCTCAGCATGCATCTTTCATCTACCACAAGCCTCAGAGGACAGAGAAGCTAAGTAAACTAAATTTGAGTGCGCTGTTCCAGCGTGAGCAAACCAAAGGATTTGGTATGTGCAGCAAGCGCTTTTGATTGAACTGTTGGAACAACTTGGTCCAGATCAATGCCGGAGATGCAAAAACGACGTACCACAAAGAGAGATGTGTTCCTACTCTCAGAGCCTGAACTTCCGATGTGGGAAATGAGAGTATTTGAGAAATAATTCTCTGCTTTCTCTCGCTGCCACGGCTCAATACCGCATACTGCTTTCAGCGTGTAAACATTTCAAAACCGAAGACAGAGGCTCTCTATGTTCAATTATTTAATGCCTTTAATAGACACAAAATGTTTAAAGGCAGTTCATTAGTGGCACATATGCATCACAATGGGTTACGCTGCTATATTTCCAGCTTGGTCGATTAATAGTTTACCAGCGTTTGTTGCAGTAATAAATTTGCTATGCTGCTACAAATTCCATCAAAGAGTGTTATGTGCCAAGAGCGAGAGAAGGGCTCCTGTTGTGGACGAATCCTGCCTCATAAATTTTCAGCGAGCCATCGCAAAATTGGGCTGACGTGTAAAAAAAAACAACAAAAAGAGCGCCTTCTACGTCTCCTTCAAGGCAGAAAACTACACTGAAATGATAGAAAAGACATCAAATTTAATTGAACATAGTGTATGTACAGCACAGTCTTGAACAAAATACCACACACTTCACACAATGTAAGTCAGCGGACCAAGAATACAAGCCGGGCCTGTGTCAGGAAAGAGTAAAAAAAAACAGAATACCATCAAACATTTGCCATTAACTGCACAGCTTTTTGGCCTCGTACTCCGTGTAGTTTGGCTGTCTGGCACTGAAAGCTTGGAGGGCAGTGAGTATCCTGGTCACGTCTGCGCCGGACAGCTTGAGTCTGTGGCGGAGCAGACAGGTGAACAGGTCCACGTGCGGCCCCCCCGGCGGCGAGAGCCGGTTGACCCGGTGGCGCAGCTCCACCAGCTGCAGGAGGGCCGAGTCCTGCGATCCCTGAGTGTACGGGTAGTCTATCTGCAGGATCAGGTCCTGGATGGCCTCGGGGTCAAAGTGCACACTGTATCCGAACAGCTGCATGCTGTTCACTTTCATGTAGCCGATGTTCCCGGACGTCTCGGCGTCCTCGGGGGGCTCCGTGTGCAGCGTGGCGTTCCGGTGTCCGCCCACCTGGTCCTTGCTGTGGCTCCTCAGGTAGAAGTGAACCGTTTCGAAAAAGCTCTTCCACCGGTTTCCCAGAGTCAACGTCCAGTTGTAGCAGTCCATGGGGATATCCAGCTTGATCCGCTCCCAGTCGGGATATCCCTGCTGACCTATGGGCATGGTCCAGCTCTCGGAGTGGCTGCCCCCGAAGGGATTGACGAACAGGGACAGCGTGGGCTCCAGCGTGCTGTTCCCGGTGAGGCAGAACTGCAAGCTGAGCCCCAGGAGCACGTGGACGCGGTTGGACTTGACCCTGTTGCTTTTGAGCGTGAGCAGCATCCGTTTCCTCCAGGAGGGGTCGAACCAGGTGTTGACGCGCACGTCGTTGCTCACGAAGACGGCGTGCAGGGCGATGCGCGGGTCGCGGCGCTGCAGGAGGTAGCGCAGCTCCGCGTCGTGCAGGTCCCGGTCGCTCTCCATGCCCAGGTAGGGGTCCGTGGGGTCGGGCACGGCGGGCCGGCAGGAGCCCTGGTTGAGGGCGAAGCCCGGGTTGCAGGCGGAGCAGCGCGTCCGGTTCTCCGGGGAGCAGGCGGCGCAGCGGGCGCCGTCGCCCACCGAGCAGGGGACCGGGGCCTGGCAGGGCGGGTGGCTGTAGGGGCAGGAGCAGCCGCGGCTCCGGTCGCTGTAGACGCCCGCCTGCTTGTTCTCGCTGCAGTACAGCACGGAGAGAGCGTAGCTCAGCCAGAAGCGAAGGGGCCTGGGGGGGAAGAAAGACAGCAAGCCTTTGAGTACAAAGTTGGGCTACTTTGGTTTTTTTGCGGTAAGATAAGGAGGGGAGGAAAAAATCTGCTCCGGCTTCCTCCCACAGTCCCAAAACCTGCATGTTAGGTTGACTGGACATTCCAAATTGCCCTTAGAAGTGAGTGTGTGTGATTCTTGGTCCTTGTGTGTCTCTGTGTGTACTGCGATGGACTGGCGTACAGTCCAAAAACCTGCATGTTAGGTTGATTGGACATTCCAAATTGCCCTTAGGAGTGAGTGTGTGTGGTTGTTGGTCCTTGTGTGTCTCTGTGTGTACTGCGATGGACTGGCGTACTTTCCAGGGTGTCCCGCGCCTCTCGCCCATTGACCACTGGGATAGGCTCCAGTTCCCCAGCGACCCCATTAGGGAATAAGCGGTAACAATAATGGATGGATGGATGGATGGATGGTTGGAAAAAATCTGCTGTTTTTTGATGGGCGATGAAATCTGTTTGCGTCAAACTCAAGCCGCCGCCCCGCTTTTTGAGTTGACGCGCAGACAAGCGCTCGCAAACGCAAACACAAACACCCGCGGACCGTTAATGTCTTGTGGCTCCGCTGTCGTTTCCACTCACGCCACGTCTTTAGGCCGCGGAGTTTGAAGCGTTAATGGCTACATCTGTTAAAGTGACAGCCGCATTTGTCACGACGAGATCAATGTTCCGTGCGGCTTCATGGGGACGTGCATGCCAAAAAACGTCCCTGTGTGCTTTTGACATTTGCTTTTTAAACTTAAAACTTAAATTCACGATTAAGTTTTCCTTCAGTCAAATGTCATATTGATGTAATATTTAATATTAGCATGAAAAATGCTCTTTCTAGTAAAACATGCCAGTGGAGGATCAGAGCAGCAGAAATATTGCTTCTCTACACGTTTGAGCTTTTTAAATCGGTGGTTCAAACGCTGGTGTAGGTGTTGTCTTCCTCATTGACTTGTGTGTCTCTCAGATAGTTCCAGGGTAGCTTGGTTATTCAGAAATGAACGGAGACCATTCACCCCATTGTTTTAATACATTGAGAAACTCAAATCCCCCCCCGAAAAAAACAAAAAGCCCCCAAAAAAGGATCTAGCTCAGGCACTACAGCTCTCACTCAGCATGGCAAATGTTTAAGTTCATGACAGTCCGATTAGAAAAGGGCGGAACAAGTAAGGATGTTTGGGAGGGTTTTTCAGAAAAAAAAAGTAGACTCTTTCCTTTAAATATTGGTGGAGGGTTGATGGTTCGGGCTTGTTTTGCAGCCTAAGGCCACCAAGCCTGTCACTAAGTCCATTATAAACTCCTCTGTATACTAAAGTGTTCTAGAGTGGAATGTCAGGCCATCTGTCTGACAGCTAAAGCTCGGCTGAAACTGGGTCACGGAACAACTTGATTTAAAAGCAGTGGTGGGATCTTAAGAATGCTGCGCGTGAAGAAACGCGAACTGCGAACCTCATTGAACTGAAGCAACATCACAAAGAGGCCGGGGCCTGAATTCCTCCACACTGACGAGAGACTGATAACATCACACGGAAAATGTTTACTTGAAGTTATTTCTGCTGAAGGGGGTTAAAAAAGCTGTTGCCCACTACAGTGCACTTAGCTTTTCAGATGCTTGTCCACTAGTTTTGGTTAGATAAAAGGATGTGTTTATCTCACTTTTGCTTTCTTTTTAAATTATTTACATGTAAATTCTTGAAGGAGGATGCCCTTTTTCCGTTCTACATATAAGGGATATAAAATTATTTTTCAGGCAGAAAACAGGTGCTTTTTTGGACTGCATTTCAGTTAGCATGCTGACTGATTGTGCTTTATAGTTCATTTCCCAGCTGGATGGAACCATCTTTTATGAGCACTGTGTTCAATGTGGCTGTGTGAGGTTTTGGCTGGCATAAGGACTCTAAAAGCAAAGGAAATAAAAATATAACAAACAATTGCTCATCGCTGGCCACGGCAGCTTAGACTCCCAATCATGCTTTGTTATGAAACAAAGAAATTACTTGAGAATTGATTGGAATTCAGCCTAAACTTGCCGACGGTTGCGTTTCTGTTTCCGTTTGGCCGAGCGTGACGCACTTAGTCTTCCTCTGACTGGTATGAAGAAGCCTTATTCCCGTCAGCACTTTTCCCCGCACTCCGCAGCTACTTTCCCTAAAGTGTCCTCTAAGAAATACCATCTCTCTCTGCAGCTTTCTCTCTTGGCAAATGAATATGAGTTTTTTAGAGGGGAACTTTGAGTTAAGGTTGCAGTCTTCCTTCCTCTCGCCCCCCCGGTCCTGCGTCTTACCTCGGCTTGGGCAGGGTTATTTTTGGCTGTTTTTGGCATCTCTTGCTCAGGCTGAAGAGCTTGTTGGTTGTGCGGCGAGCTTTGGCGAGAAGCTGGCCGGCGCTTGCTTCGAGCTGCCTGTAGCGCTGCAGCAGGTTAGCGTCCATCCTCCACAGCTGCTCCACTACAGATGTGTTCACTGCATATTGGGTGGGCAGGTTCCCAACAAAACTCTGAAATTCCTCTGGAACGGAAGGAAGAAAAAGGTGAATGGTTAAATCACAGACATCCTCATTAAACATATCAAATTTTCATAATTTATAAGAGAAAATCAAACAGGTAAAGAGTTTGCTGCTAAGAGCAAAATATTTTTGTGTAAATTTAGTCATGTCTTTTCTTTTTCTTTTTTTAGGATGGTAATTTTCAGAACCTTTCATTTTTTTTGTTTCCCTGGAAACTTATGCTGTACATTACTGTCTGCGGTGTACCTTTAACAGAGCAGGTCTCTAATTAGAAAAGATTGACGCTAAAAGAAAAATAGCTGGTCCTTCCATTAGCATAGTGAATTTAGGCCAGGTTTCCATGGATACAGCGAACAATTGTGTCAAACCTAACAAAAAAAATGACAAGTTTGAGAAGTTACTGAATATTTCTTGATGATGAACAAAAAAAACTTAACACTGTGGACTCTCACATGAACTAATTACTCGCACACGACATGACAGCTAAACACAGTTTCAGTCATACTTTTTGACATTCAACAACCCCCCCACGGTTTTCTGGTTCTCCCACGCAGCGTTTTTTTTTTGGTGTGATTTTTGCAATCCTTTGCATACACAAACTAACATCTAATTAGAGCAAAAAGTTGTTAAAAGATTCTCAGCGTGAACGCTCACGCAGTTAATCGAGCTGGCATCACAGGAAATTTACACGATCACAACATTTTGGAGTCGGGCAACAAAGATTTGTGTCACCACTGTCTTGATAAATATAAAAATATTGTGACACTACAGAGTTTCCACAAATTTCTTAGCAGAGGTTAGGATTAAAATTAGTGATGTATCCATAAGAAATTCTCGCCTAGAAACTTCTGTGACTTTATTCACAAATGTTGCCAAAAATGAAAACTAATGTACTACATGTCTTGATCCTTATACAATTAATGACGATGATCCTGACCTTATTTTTGTCTTGCAAGTTGTTTATGATCAGTTGTCCTCCAGCTTCTTTATAGGTAAATTATTTATTAGAACAGTCCTAACCGAAAAATTTGATAAATGAACACTAACGTATGAAGGCATTTAACTCAAGACATGAACCAGTGTTGCATCTTCAAAGAACAGCTAAAATACCACTGAACCTAGTGAGGTTTTTGACACTGTTGATACATCTACAGTTCACCGAAGCAGTACTTAAGGAAGTGAAACAAAGAAAAATTACTGGGGTGTCCCAAAAGACAGAAGAACTAGGCTAAAAATCAGCAGCAACAGGTCTTATGGAGGGAAAAATCCTCAGTGTGGATGTATTCCTGAGGAAAACTCGAAGGAATTACTCGGAATCGTGTCTGAGAGAGCTCTGGGTGTGCTGAAGAATATAAAACAGTGCATACCAAATTTGGGTTGTTAACCTTTGAAAAACTCTCCAAGCTTTAATTTAGCCTCTCCATCCCATATTTTCAGTTTTTATTTAGGGAATTATGAGCAGTTCTTTTTTTCATTGAGGAGTGTTCTCTTTTCTTATTTTATCATATATCATTGTTGTTTTTATCTTGATGCCTCATTAATCGTGACGCCAACAATGCCTCCATATACAAATGATCAGTCATGGCGTTGTCTTCATCTATTCACAGCTAAAAAAATGCTGATGTATTTCTAGCCATTTCGGAATTGTGCACATATTTAGATTTGCGCTGACTTTTTTTTCACTGACTTACGAAAAGAAAACCTTGATCATCTGCGAAACGAATGCGTGTGTATATTTCTGTTCTGAACACAGTCTTTGTCATAAAACTAAAGAATCCGACTCGACGTGTCCCACAGTGCCGGTGTGAGCTTTAACACGACATCATACTGTGAGAGCACTTCTCTGGCCATTTTTTTTACACTATTATTTGGGAACTGAAGAGAAGATGATGTTTGAGTGGATGGTGGAACGATGTGACAGAAAGGCTAGACCATCATTTTAAAAAAATCAATACATGCACCTCTACCTTGGTACAAATGGCCATAATATAGTATTATAGCGATGGCTCTATAATGGCGATGACGATGCTTCCACTAAGAGTCAGTCTGTCCCATCAATTTGAGCCATCAAATTCGGTGCAAATATAAATAAACTGTAGAGTAAGTACTGGTGGAGCCTATGAATAATTTCCGCAATGACCCTCTGTGTGCGTGCACAGTGATCCCAGCACTGTCTCAAATAAAAAGCATAATGCATAAAGGCCGCGTTTTTGTGCGGCTGCTCGTACTCTTATTTGGGGAAACTCTCTTTCATTGTGTGCAGGACTGAAGGAAATATGTAGAGAGCTATACTTGTGTTGAGTTCTAAATATCAGGAGCCAACTGCACAAAACACCCTGATTCCTGTTTAACTGCAACACTTTAGGATTAATTTCTCCAATGATGAGGGACTCTTTTGGAGGTGTTATACAGAAAGTCTAAAATAAAAAAAGGTTAACTTATTTGATGTGGAGAACAAAAACAGAAGATTCTACAAGGTTAATTAGTCTCATGCTTTCCGTTGGCATGGCTGTTATTGCTTTAACCTTTTACAACTCTTAAATGACTAATAATCAAACAGATTGTGTGAAATATAAGAAACTAAAGACACAGCTTCATTGGAAGACAACTGAATTTATAACTGAAATTAACCATGCTGGACACGTTTTGTAAGCTAACGTTCCTCCCATTCCTATTATAGAAAACCCCTTTACAACTGTGTGTGATCAGTTAATGGTGCAGCACAGCATGATATGAAATTGCTCACCAACTCCAAAGCAGACAGATACAAGTATAAAACACTGGAACAGAGTTGGAATGGGAGAGAGACGTCTCCGAACGGTCAATAAAATCATCAGCCTTTGAATCTATGATAATTCAGGCTCTCTTTGGGAGAAAGAGAGAATCCATTCTTTTTCTGGCACCATTATTTCCTCAGTTTATTTCCCTATATTTAAGACGAATAGAAGCTTTCCTGAGACAACGCTATGTCATAAAAAAAAAAAGAATGGGCAAAAGGACAAAAGCTCTTCACATGGCTTTTTTTTGGGGAAAAAAAAGAACTATAGCAGTCAAAAGAGTCTGTGTCAGCCCAAAAATGACACAACTTAGCAATGCAGAAATAGAACCAATGCAGATGGTGAAATGCAAAGAAAAAGATCAAAATGGACATTTGGCCAGTTAAAGTCCTGACATTCACAGTGTCCACTCTCATGGACTAAACCATGAGACTGAGAGTGATTTCGTGATCTACATTTAATCCGTTCAACCACAAATTAACACACATTGAAAGAGCCCAGCTGGGATTCGAATAAAAAAAAAAAAACCCTGCTGAGCCGACAGCATCCTGATTCACTAATTTGTCATCTTCTTTTGAACCAGGTGATCATGGAAATTCTCTTCATCCCTGGAGTGCTGGGCCGAGCCACCAATTTGGATAGCTGTTTGCACAAACATGCACTCTATGTAATCGGGCAACTGGTTTCCGGAGCCCTGTGATGGATGAATGACCTGTCCAGACTTTACCCCGCCTCTCGCCCAATAACAGCTGCGATGTTCCCCGAGGGTAGATGGATGGAACCGCTTTCAGGACAGGTATGCAGGAATCGCAAGCATTTTTGCGAGTGATGGATTTTTTAATTCCAGCTCAGATTATTAGTTTGCCTTTGCAAAATGAGCCACTAGCTTTCCATTGTTAGTGTATGACAGCGTCGTCCACAAATGGTTTTGTTTTTCAGTAGAACAGCAAAGTCACAGTTAGCTTCTCTTTTACTTTCTGTTTCTCATAAGCGGCTTCTTCAAAGACTAAAACTTAATCCCAATGAAGCTGAGAAAGCGTGAAACGAGGCCCATTAAGACTCGTTGTTCAGCAGCGGGCTTGTTTGAAAGATCTGTGAGGCCGGGGCTCTGCTCTAAGAAGAGATACGTTTGTCAGCTTCTGTGCAAAAGGCTGCTGACTTTCTCCACACTGATGTGTCACCGGCACACCGTAGCTGTGAGCATGAGCCCGCCGTTTCCCGCTCGTTGGATAACACACACAGCAAACTATGAGATTCTGTCCCCGTGGAGCAAAATAGCAGCTTTCTTCTCTCCGAAGCAGACACGTATTTTGTTTTGTAAGTTGCTAGACGGTATTTTAAAAAGAAATTAATTTTTCTTTTGAAAGTGCCCTCGTCTTGCAACATATCTGCCAAGCTGAGAACCAATTTCGTATTGCACTCTTTTAAGTTCTCTACTGCAACGAAATCTTTAAAAAAGAAAGCTTTTTTTTTGTTGCAACATTTCCACATCCTTTAAGGCAGTGTCACACCACAAATTCAAAAGAAAGTGAACAAATTAAGTGAAATTAAATGAAGTTGTGGTAGAAATCTGGTGCAGAACTTTAAATTCACTTCTGACCTGATGAAAAAAAAAAGCAATTGACGTCCCATAGTTTTTACTCGTCCGATTCTTTTTTGTCTCAGCTTGTTGGGTCTAACAATACAATGCTGAACTGTATCTCGTATGTGGATTCTAAAAGGGGAACAGTGATGTCTGCGATGCTTTGCGCGAAGTCAGTTGTCAGTCATAGAACAAAAAATGACTCAAGTCTTCTTGTTTGCCTTTATGTGCCAAATACCAACTCATTCATATAATGTAAACTGTTTATGTGTATAGATAGCGGAGTCTAACCCTGAGTTTAAACCTATGAGTAAAAAATCTTTGTTCAAAACCCTGTTATAACAATCTGGTATGCCTGATATCAGTGGGTTGCGAGGATTACACTACAATAAGTCATTGCTTTTTGCAGGGTAATAAATGGTATATACTGTATACAAAAATATCAAATTATCTTAGACCGACAAATAAAGATTGAACAAAAACAAATCTGTATTATTTTCTTAGAGAAGGATTTAAATGCTATGGAAATAATTTCACCAAAATATGTCTCTTATTAGTTTGTCAGGTTGGTTTTGGTTTTATGTTTTTTTACTGCTCGTCTATTGAAAATTAATATAAACTAACAAACAGATGAGGAAGAATAAAATGTTTTTTTTTACCACTTGTCTTGAATATATTAATTCTAATTAGGAAAGGCACCATACGTCTTGACTGGTGAACCTGCTCTATTTGGCACCTCATTTCGAACTCCTAAATTCCACCTTCAAAGTGAAAGAATACGGGGAGACTGCTCCGTATGTCTGCATAGCACATTTAATTCTACAGCAGGTTGCCAGGTGGCTGTGTCAGTGGAATACTGGAAACAAAAACATTGGTCTGTCATGAAGGACCCTTGGAGTTCACAGAGAAGAATACATCATTTCATCTTTATCTTTTGTTTGGACGTAAAATATGTTTCTTGAAAAAAAAACTTCACGAAACTGTTACTGCTCCCGAACTTCATTAAAATGGAATGAGTCTGCAGACCCCCCTGCATACCTTCATAGTTTCACAACAATTAGCTGACACAAAAAAAATCAATGGCCGTCTATGTTTGGGAGTTTTTGTTTTGTCAGCCAAGAATGCATTTGAAGAACAAGGTTTCTTCAAGCGAATTCAAGCTTTAATTCATATGTGTCTCTGAAAGTGCAACCCGTGTCCCTAAAAGCTTTTTCTGAAAGCAGATTTTGAAGACCAATGTACCACCTGTGTTTTTTTCATTTCTTTTCTTTCTTTTTTTTGTATTTTGGGAAAGCTGTACTGAAGCTGACATTTTCAGGTTCCATTTCGAAACGGTTCCAATTAATTTCTGACTCACCAGATTCCTCAAACTCCCGATTGGTCAGCTTCCAGGCATCGCGGATGTGCAGCAGGCTCTTTTCCAGGGTGTCCAGGTCGGAGTGGGGACAGTTACACTGTGGGAAGTCCACGCTGCACTCGCACCAGCAGTCGTTATTCCGGCAAACAAACTGGCCCTCCGATTTGCAGCCGATGTAGTTCAGTGCTGCCTGAATGAAGCGGCTTTGTAGATAGCCTGGCAGTATGACTTGCAACCCTGTGGCACATCAAAGGGGAACATGCGACACATTTGATTTTGAAACACATATTATAAAGCCGGTCGTAAATAAATTCTTCCATATCGAATGTTTTTAAGGTGTCTTTAAAACCTTAAATCTCGCATCTACCCAAAGGTATTAAAGGTTGCCCAGCGGCTCATTGGCAATATACTGTTTTGAGTCAGCTGCTTCTTCATGTCACTGTTTTTTTAATGAAAAATAATGGAAAGCTGAAAGATTTATGTCCTAATTATTAAAGGATGAGCTTGTGCGCATGAGTGCCTGTAAGGCAGATGGAAATTTGGAACTGCGAGGTGGACGTGCTGCTCATTTTTGCTAAAAATATAAAAAAAATAAAAAGATGTGTCCTTTACAGCAATAGTTTTGACATTACATTTTAGGAAAGGGGCTTTTACAGTTGCTTGCAGAGTCCAGGTTTATTCAAATGCCGTCCATTAAGAAGAGCAAAGACGAGTGAAACAGTGATGGCGTCGAGACACACGGGGAAAAGCCGAGAATTTTTGAGAGTCCATTTGGTTTCATCATCCCCATGAGCCACAGAACCATAGGAAACTCAGCTGAAGGCAAACAAGGACCAGCTTCTGTATCGAGTTGCAAAAAGTTCATTGGTGACAAAGTCTCTTGCTCCATTAAGTCTAATTTGCTTGCATTTACAGATGATGATTGACTCCAGTAGTGGGAGGAGGTAATTAGATGAAAAGATTGATTGCCCTGCCCGACAAACTGTGCATAAAGTGCAAAGAGTCAGAATGACTAGTTACTCTCCTCGATGCTGACGGCGTTCCCGTTTACCTTGTAGTTGAACCTTGTTTTCTGGACTGTGGACCAATACGGAGCTGACGGTGTCCAGGTTGTCATAGTTGCTGCACCCAAGAGGCCCAGTTCTGGTTTCAGTCACCTGGAAGCACACAAAGGGAATCTTAATGACCCCACGCAGACAAACCTTTACGTTTGAACTCTTTAACCAGCACCTTTGGACGAGCTCCTGAACAACGAGCTCTGAAGCAAGTATATCTCCCCAAAAAAACAATAAAAATGATAGAAATATCTGGAATACTGATTGAACTAATCACAACACACATCAGCATGCTATGGTCTATCCTAGATGCCTCCACACCCCCTCTGGACTAGCTAAGGTTTTGAAAGATAAAGGTTTTAAGCAATATTTATGAGAGTAACTCAGCATTATGGTGCTTGGCAAAACATTCCCACAATAATCCCTTCTCTCTGGGATTATATCGGATATCCCTGAATGGTGTATCTTGAGGCTCTGCCATCTGACTGATCAGAGATCACAGATGTCTGGCTTAGAGCTGCGGCCCTCTGCTTTTATACACTGAATTTCTTCCAGGTTTCGCAAACGGTTTCACGACATTCTGAACGGCAGAAGAGGAAATACAAAAAAATTCCATTAAATCTTTCTTTCACTGATGTCGATTTTAATCTTTGTAGTCATTTCCTTACCCATTTGTTTGACAAACCCTGCGCCCTCTTTTTTTTAACCAAATAATGAACAATCTTTTTAAATAGCCTGTTTACAATAACACAAATTGAAATGATTTTTTTTATTTGTGCAGTCCATTCTTTTCTTTTACCTGATTGCTAATATAAATGATCTTTATTCCAACTTTGAGTTGTAGGCTTGAATTTAAAATATGTAAATGTAAAAGAAAGAAAGAAAAAAGAAATGCAAAACTGATGCCTTTTAAATTCTTTTTCCTCATCACAAACCACTTTTTAAAAAATGAAACAAAAAGAACATTACACAACGGCAAAGGCATTCTTTGTCTCAAATGTAATTGCAAAGCAGAAAATTACAGAGCTTAGTCTCTTGTGCTGCAGTGAGAGAAGAAAAACAACTTCCCACCAAACCGACTCCTGTGTCTGAAAGAATCATTTCTAACATGAATAAATCTTAACGTAACCGCCAGGTATTCTGAAACACACAAAACATGGCTCAGTCTGCATTAGCATACATTTCAGCTCAGAATCCGTCCTGATGCGAACAGAATCCTGAGGATAGCTACCGGATGTGGAATTAATAAATGGCCAAGTATTGCAGGTGCTGCTTTACATCCCTCATAAAATGTAGAATTCATCTCCCGCTCCGCCCTCTAATCCTCACTGATCTTCAATCTGCCTGAACTCTACGGCCGCTGCAAAGTGGCAAGTGAATGGAAGTCGATGTGGTTGGAAATTAATGGAATGATATCTCTAATCCATCAAGCTGATGCATAACCAGGCTAACATGTTCTCATTTTGGGGGAGCACTTGTCTTCATCAGTAGCCATTCACTTTAGCATCTACGTTTGCCCCTTGGGCTGATTAATGCGCACACTCTAATAGCCACTTCAGATGATAAAACGGATGATTGGTGTTTTATACCACAAGACGCACAACTGCTGCTTGATTCTGCTTCCTCCCTCTTCCATTAAAATCCTTTCTCCAAAGTGGGGAATGTCTCCCGAATGTTATATCCTGGAATTTTGTTATTCTCAGTCAATCACTGTCCCATCCAGGAGGAGGTTACCTATGGAAACTTTTTTTATTTTATTTTTTCTATCAGATTTGGACACCAAACAGTGAGTTATTGTAAATGTTCCCACTCTCCCAGTGTTGTTGTTGTCGTTGTTGTTTGTGAGCATAAACTAGAGCGCAGAGATGAGAAGAAACTAGAAAAAGCAGGAAAAACAGATTTGACAGTGTTGCTGCCCGCCTGCAGTCACAAGAGGTGACTCTCCAACAGGCTGGCCAATTCTGCAAATAAGCATTTGCTCTTAATCTACCTGATTAAATAAGCTATGGGAAGAAGTCCCTGAGCTGGTATTAAGGGATTTTCTAGTCTAAGTTGTCCTCAAGTTAAGTTTCCAAACTTTAATAAATTAAGTCCTTGCTGTATATGTATGTCAGCAGAGGACAGTAACTTATACGCTTTATTATTTTTTAATGATAAAGTCTTACACTTCTACTCTCCTATGTAATCGGAACTTCGTAAAATCTTGTGAGGATGCTCACTCTGTTACTTCTATTGGCCTGGATGTTGTTACATATAATTATCGAACACCAGCAGGGGGGAATTTGCACAATGAGGTGGAAATCCTGCCGTTCACTATAAACTAACACAGGCAGAAAGTGTCGCAGTGGGGAGTGGATTCGTTTTCCGAAAAAGGACGGCTAAAAGCAAACAAGGGCTGGACGCAAAATGAAGCTAAAGCATCGGACTGAGAAAAGACAGGGATCTGACTGTTCTTCTCGTTTTCGTTATGCCGTTTTCTTCGCCTGCTCCAGGGAAGCTGCTGCAGCTGCAGGTGAACGCACCGAAAATTGTCACAAACGAAAACAAACAGAAATTACCCGGTGCTAGATGATTAAATGTTTGGAACACAGTATTGCCTTTAAACTATTTGAATGATGTTACTTGACTGATGTAATCATTTATTTACTGTTTGATCATGTTCAAGTTGATGTTATCTTTTCATAGGTGAGGTATCAAATCATGCATTAATGTGCATAATATGTGATATGCTCCAGTTCCTTACCACCATGAACTGGATAAATAATGAAAAATGGGCGATTGAACGAATGAATGAATGAATAAATGGATGGAACGTGCAGCAATGAGTTGTTACTGATCATTGCATAAGCCAGAATTTCTTCTAATTCCATAAATCAGAAAATGCTACCAAAAAGATCAATCACATTGTCTTTTGAATAGAGGCTGCGACTCAATGGCTCAATAAGACCCAAACATCTGGAAAACCCCCAAAACTCCCAGGTTTAGTCTTCATGCCAAGGCAGTTATTGTTTGGATTAGAGGATTTTAATAAATTCCTAGTAGGAAATGTGTTTTTAAAGGGCACTTTAAAGATAGAGGAGTGCATATTTCAACCAAATCTCTGGAAAAAACTTTGCTACAGTGCTTTCCAAACAGCTAAAGGCCCCCTCAGCGCTAAATACTGCAGTTTTGTGAAGCTACAAGATGTTCATTAAAGTTGTAACTTTTGAGATGCAACTTTAGCTTCAGTTGTCAGCAGCTCTTTTAAGAAGATATCCCTTTTTCACACGCATAAGAATTAAGATGTGAAGACAACAAGGAATAATAACTGGGAATGTAAGAACTAGGAGCCAGGAGAAACACCAGAGACATGAACAGAGATCAAAACATGAGAACAAACAGAGCGACTACAACTGAGGAGTGTTGATCGAACGGCAAAAGATGAGAATCAGACGTAAAGCGACTGAGACAGAGAGAGAATCTACACAGAAGAGGTTGATTAGTGAGTTGAGACAGCTGAGGGCAGGGCGCACAGGTTAAGGGAGTGGAGCTAATGACCAGAAGGGAAAGTACTGCGGAGACAAAGGAAGATTACTAAACTCAAAGGTGACTTAAACAGGGATGGAGGGGACAGGAGAGTGACAGGATATCACCATCACAAACGGAAAACAGAGCCCAGAGAGAGCAGCGAGAACCTTGAAAGATTACTGAAACAAGAACCAAGGAACAGGAAGCTAACTATGAACAAGGAAATTAGAAAAAACCTGAAACTTAAATGTAGACACGGGACTAAAGGCAATTGGTAAAACAACCAAATCCCGAACTTATGATACTTCTGTAGACACGCTTGTTAAATGACTGAAGATTGGTTGATTATCATTCTATTATGTCATGGTTATAATTGAATCATATACATCATATACATTCTTTAGGCATTTATATAACATTTTACAAAAGGGAACATGTATGAATAACTGGGTTACTTTTGAAAATAAAAATTAATTTAAACCGAAAATGTATCCAAAGGCACTGAAGTTGCAAACAAGTGAAGACTTAGTCTTAGTTCAGTTCACAGCAATTGTGAACTGAACTCTCTACAATTTAATGTGAGAGATCACACAGCTTGTGTGCTTTGTGTGAAAGGCTAACCTTCTCCGTCTGGACTCTTAACACCTTTTCCTGAACATAAAAAGCTATTTAACTTCTAAAATTAGCAACCTCATCCACTTCTAAGGAGGGAACTGTAGTAAAAATAGTTATTTCAAATAGCATCCTAAAAGCTGGGTGGTGGGGGTGCTTGAGAAAAGGCAGCAGAGGCTTTAGGAAATGAGGACAGTTAGTGGCAGGATTAATCTTTGCTTCAGTTTATAGGATTAGAAACTTGCTCTTCTATTTTACTCAGCAGGAAGATAGTTTCCATTTTAATATGAGTGCAACACTCGGTCTCTGTACAGGAAGCCCCTGGGTGACTATTATTATTGTTTTCATTGTGCTATTTATATTCCTGCTCCAGGGAAGCTGCTGCAGGTGAACAAATTCAAATTTGTCACAAATGAAAACACACGGAAATTACCCCCTGCTAATTACTTATGTTTAGACAATATAATTGTCACTATTTGAATTATGTTACTTGATTAATATTATTTGTTTTTATACCGTCTGATGTTCATGCCTAACTTCATATTGTGTTTTAATAGGTGAGATGTGATTTTATTATGGCCGTTAATGAAAAAAGTTACTCAACACCTCAGTAACACCCAAGAAGATCTACAAAACCATAAAACCTTGCGAGAGAAGTCTTCCAGCAAAGACAATTACTTTTTCAATTAGAAGTTCTCGGAAACTGCTGTTTTAGAAACGCAAATGGTGTAAAGTGCCACATATGGTGACATCAATTTCTAGGAAGAAATGTGTTCATAAAGGGCACTTATACTGTGAAGATGCCTTTTAGACATCTAAAGGATTACATGTTACAACCAAATCCCTGGACACAGCTTAGCTACAGCGCTTCCCTGATAGCTAACAGACCCCTAAAGGGCCTAAAATTGTCAGCTATTACACGTTCATTAAAGCTGAAATTTTAGATGCAACTTTAGCAACGGTTATCAGCGGCTCTTACGAGATGACGGCTATTTTTCACACGTCGGAATTAAAAACTCAAACACTTATCGTGAGGCGGGATGTCTATGGTGGAAGCTGCTCCCCCACATAATCCAATGCAAAAGGTCAAACATGCGTGACTTTTCTCGAAAAAAAGGTTTTCACAGCCATTTGACATTACTAGTTTTCCACTCTGCCGTCAACTGGGAATAGTTAAAGGCGATTTAACATTTCTACGTGCGCATAGCTTACATGGCCAATACTTCTACCAGAATGTGGCGGTGCGCACGGTTCCTCTGTGGCTTACCATTTGCAGCCCTAATATTTGGAACTGTGCACCCTCAGTGGAATGTCTATGAATAAATTTAGCGATTCCGAGGAGAGACTTAGTTGGGAAATCACTGATATCCACACCTCTAAAATGGATCCATGCAAACAGGACTTGTATCAATGTTTGCACATGGATGTCCCACTACTTGCTGATTCTACTGAGGATCAAAGGCATTAGAGTGTCTTAAGAAAGGATGCTGATAAATTAAACAACAGAGAGAAACTGACAAAAAATAAAAGGTTACTGGAAGTAAACAGAACCAATCAAACTTTAAGTTAGAGGGACCAGATGAGACATGCACAGAGACAATGTGCTCTGGACCGTACTGTTGCATTTTTAACTGACCTCCACTGGCAAGACATTGATGGGTAGCTGGAAACTGTGGTGTCAACATCTGCCAGTCCTTTCAAATGATTTGCATTTGCATTTACTGACTTAGTAACATTACTAGTTTTTAGGATTTCTAGTACAAAACACTAAAATCAGCCTACACTTTGCCAAAGAGTGGATGCGAGCGCAGCCATAAAAGCTTTTGGTGTGTGTGCTTATGGATTGACCAGTTCCGAGGTCATTTTTCCTTCTGTGGATGTTTTATTCATTTCTTTTCAGTAAGTGTAAGAGAGGGGAAACAGCACCGATGCTTTATTTAAGGCTGTTCCTCTGTGTAACAGACACAGCTGAGCCACACACCGCAGAGTTCCAGCTCCGAGACTGCCGCGTTTCATCTCCCGACGGGCCGCCGCCGCCGCTGTGTTTTCCACATTCTCACATACCCGTATGGCGGTGGATGCAATCTGGAGGTGGTGCAGCCTGCGCAGGGTGCCCTCTCGGTCTGTGAAGTAGGACGCGGCCAGCTGGTGGAGGGCTTCCAGAGTCGCCGAGCCCGTGGTGTTTGAGTTTCTGTCGCCGCCGCGGCTGCCCTCGACCCCCGCGGGCGAAGACTCCAGCCTGAGCTTCCTTTTGTCCACAAATATTGTCAGCGACTCCTCCCCTGGTGACAATCAGGCGGAGAGGTTCATTAGCTCTGACAGAGCAGCACTAATCACCTTTCATTAGTATCTTTTCAGACAGAAAAGCACAGCAGTGATTAAGTGCTTTGGGGGAACTGATGGTGTGGATGATTGGAGGAAAAGGCACAAGCAAAGACTCTTCATCTGTTAAACTCCTCATGAATAAAGAGGGGCTGTTGGAGATCACTGATTAAGCGGTCCTAATTATTTTCATAATCTTAATTGAAATTGGAAAACCAAGAAGATCTCAGGCCAGCCCTGATTTTCTTAAAGCCCAAAAAACAAGAAACACTGGTTCAAGTCTTGAGTAGAGGTATATGGCTATGATGATTACGACTTGATGTTTCTCCATAACACCGAACTGCAATTTCAAAGGGATTTCAGCTTCTGCGTCCCTAGTGTTATGTACAAAAATGAATAATGTGAGGATCGGGTCAAAAAGACTGACCGGTGCAAATTGTGTGTGCTCCTGGTTTATGCAAATCAGAGTGCAAGCCTTGTAATTTTCAATAAGTTCAGTGTGAGCTGGGTTTGCTGTCTGGGTTTGCCCTCAGACTATTAAGTGTATGCTCTCTCCTTTGGTAAAAGCACTTCAGGGTTGTCAAGTTTATTTAGTCTTCTAATTTGGAACAGATCTCTATTAAGATGCTGCAGGAGGACAAAACAGGAGCAGAGCCGATTGGGTCACTCCACATTCTCAAACCAGTTGCAAATTCCCATTTAAGTGAGCAGTGATATAATTTTGGTGTTTTGAGAAAAATCATGGCACAGATATTTCATTAAGACTATATTTTTTAATGTCTGCCTATCCATGCAAAATCGGTGTCAAGTACAAGTTCTGAATGATTTATTTACCACTATTTACCACCTTTATCAGGCCTACATCCTTCAATCCTCTTTATTTGGAGACAATTATTGTTTGGTCTCGGATTTGTACTGTATCTGTAACTGCAATTTCGTTTATTTGAATTTACCCATCCGTATTTTGTATTTAGCATGATGTTTTTGGTATTAAGATGGACTTTAGTCAAATTTGGTTCATCAGCAATAACTCTGTTGTTGAAATTGATTCATTTAACAGTGCTCTTTTCAAAACCCCAATGTCTAATAAAGTAGACCTGGCAATGATACCTAAAAAGAAAAGGCAAGGAACGATACTTTGTTTAAGAAACCGTGCAGCTTTGACAGCCCACCTAAGACCCTGAATTTCTCTTTCCACTCTCTCGAATGTATTTGTTGTACGCTAAATCAGAGCAATTTGATGTCTTATGTGAGCCAAGGTACACTCAACCAGAAAGAAAGTATAATATGCTTTGTTGCTTGGAAAGCAACAGACGGTAAGACCAGTGTCCCATATGCTGGGGAAATAGAACAAAATCACATTAGACGCTATGCGAATCAGGCTTGCTTTGAAGCTGAACAGACTCTCTGTACCTCCCAGAGTGGCAGATAGAAGTAGGTGAGTGCCATATTTCTTGATTAGACCCTCTGTAATCATCTGGAGGGTTGGCCGCCTCCCCAGCTGGCGGATAGTGTGCATGAAGTCGGGGTCGAGGGGAAGAGCCAAACCGCCGCTGCCACCGGAACTGTCTCGCCTCTCCACCGCCAGGCTGTTGACCTTCCATCGGCCAAACTCCCTGGAAACACAACAAAGGAGACGCGCACTCACACAACGGCTACTTTAAAGGCTTTCTTTTTAATTTACTTGTTTCATATTGCGCCAAAGTCTATTGCCTCGTGCTTGGGTTATTGTGCAGACAGTCCATTCTGTTGTAACACATACAGAGTGTTGTTCGGGGCTATCTGAGTCATATAGCCAAGACTTTTTCCAAAATATGTACTGGCTTATCTTCATCTGCATGATGCAGATGAGGTTTGTGTTGCATTCTAAAAAGAGAAAAAGCGCGAAACATCCAACTTTCATGTCTGTGATCTGAATATAACGGCAACCTACAGTCTCATGTGCAACCTCCAAGGATATAAGAGATAAAGTATGACTAAAGAATCCATTTAAGCAGCAAACATGATGTTTTTTCCAACCCTAACCAAGTGGTCTATCTACCTCCTGTCTACCAGGAAATGACAAACATGACATTATGCCGTCCCCAAGGCAACCAACGGTAGGGCATCCATTCATGCAACGGTGTTGATTAAAAAGAAGAAAAAGAGAAAATTAGCTCATTTACCAACCCTAACCAAGTAATATCCTTCCCCTAAAACTCATTTCAAAGTTGCATGAGTTATTTCAAAATGTGCTCTCGTCTTTTTCCTCCATGGAAAAAAGTTTAGTTGTTGTAATGATGTTCTGTGGTTTATAACGGGGATTCTGACTTAAAAAATCGGGATACTTCACACAAACAGAAGGTCTGTTTTCGTGTCACGGGTGTCATCAGCCTGGAAATGAGAACACTGATGCTCAGTACATTCTCAGGCGAGTTTTCCCTCCTCACTACCGCTACTTTTGTTATCTGAAATTAGACATCTGAACCTTTGAACATGCCGTGCCTGAATTTCAACGAGGTTTACTTCTACTCTTTAATAGCGACCCACTCCATTTCAATTTGCAACCTGTCTGCCTCCAATAGGCAGCCAGTTATTTGGTGTGCTTAATTTAATTGAAAATGTGTTCAATTCCGTAGGAGAGCATATTTTTGGCTTTTGAACAGAGGAAGGCTAATTGTTTCCCAATTACCGGATTCTATTCTTCAAAAAACGCGTTCTGCTCCTGGCTGCAGCTTTACGTTTGAGCTAAACGTTCGGAGGGTATCAGTGCCAGAAAACTATACGGGCACTCTTTTTTTTCATTTTTTATTTTTACAGATACTCATTTAAAAAAAAAAAAGAAACTATAACTGAGGGTCGAGGGCGCCTGCAGTAAGACTTGACTTTTCAATGATGGTCTAACTGATTATTGTCATTTAAGTACTTGATCACAAGCACTCCGGTGCTGAGAATGGTAGAATATCATGTCAATCAGCAAAGATCAACGTTGTAACGTATTAGTATCTGTTTTTTTCATTATTGTGGTGGATGCTTCTACCACCACTACCAAGTTTTCAGCAAACTACAAACCAACTGGACAGGGAAGCCTTGGAACACACCATTATTCCAAAGACTGAAAGGGGGGTGGGGCTTTAATTGTTGAAGATTACTTTAGTTATTTTGCCATTTAGATATTTCATTATTTGTGCTAAATTGAAGATGATTTAGCTTTATTTGTTTGTTAGTTTTAATGTTTGATTTTTTTGGTTTGCTGTACCTCTGTTATGTTGTTCCTCCCTGGAGGTCAGTTTTGTTTGTGTTTGCTACTGTTCAGTTGACCTCATTTGACTTGGGCCCGAATCTAAGTTGCTTACTGATTTTTTTGCTCACTGAAGTTTCACCCTTTCCATTTTGATACTATTAAGTTAAAGGCTTGTCTCATTTCTCGAACACCTTTTCTCTTTGTTTAAAGACTTGTCCCTCACAGATGTCGTTCAGTTTTTTTCCCCCGTCAAAAACATTTCGAAGCGATATACTCAACCAATTTCCGCCTAACCCCTGAAAATGGCTGAAAATCCCTCTGTCGAGTACAAGTGCTCGAGAAACTCCCTAATAAGGTGCAGTGTAGTCTGTTCGAGAGCTGCCTTAAAGCAAACCCTCCAACCTGACTTATTGAGATTCACAGCTGTGAGTCCCAGAGCAGCGGAGAGGAGTGAAACCAAAATAAAGTTCCACATCATTAGCTGCCATCATTTGTTATTTCGTGCCCTTCGGACAAAAAAGTCTTGTCGAACTGCAGATCCCCGTAAGCTGCCTCCCCGTGTCGCGTCTCTCCATCTCCACAGCACCGGTTGACGTCTCCTTCCCCCTGCACCTCTCCCCCCCCTTCAGGGAGGGCCCATCAAATCCCCGCCGCGAGAAAAGTGACCAGCAGAGAAATAATTGGGGAATTGGGACAGCGTGGAGTGTGTCATTACAGGCAATCATCATAACGAGGGGACAGACAGAGGGTCCATCTCCTCTGGACAGATGGGCAGTTAGCCAACAGCTATCACATCAGCATGCACGTGGAAAACAGAGGAGCTAAGGGGGGGCGAAGCTGTTGCGTACGGGATGGGTCGTACGTATGTAAAACAGGCAGTGATCAACAGTGACAGGAATAACTTTTAGGAATGAGGGGGAAAAACTATAAAAAGGAGCAGCCAAGGGGAGGAACTGACAGCTTAATCACAATCTGCCACATGACTGGCAGCCATGTGTTCTTCACCAAGCTGTCACAGCTGTTCTATTGGTCAGATGGGAGGGATAGGATTATTCTTGGCAATTTAAAAGGGCATACCTGTAGAAAACTGAAACTGGCGTTCTGTCAAAAAGTCTCGACCTGACGCACATTTTCCCCCCTCCACATTTGGCTCCCCTAAAGAAAGACATTCTTGAAAAGCAATAGTTCTTAAAGGTTTTTCTGTGGAAAAAAGCTGCCCTTGGTCTCATTTTCAGTCCATCCTCCAACCATTTGGAAGGAAATGTGATTTTTGTTGTTTTGTTTTTTTGTTTGTCCTGTTGACATTGATCTGTGTGCCATTAAATGATAAATACAATACATAATATATGAGATTAACCGGTGTTGTGCATTAAACATAACAAGAGGCAACTTTCAGATTCTACCTTTGGGCAGTTTCCATCCTGTAGCACAGACATGTTATTTTATCCCTTTTCTTTAGTTTCTTCTATATTGGATCTTTAGAAAAGGAAACATAAGAAAAGAAACCAAGTTATGTAAAAAAATAAAAAATAAAAATACACTAGAATGAGACTGAAAAGCAATAGCAACAGGCTTTATGGAAAGATGAGTCCTCCCCAGTGTTCAGACCTCAGTATTATTGAAAAATGCGTCATATTGACTAGAGAGCAGAAAAAAAAAGGCAGCCAACATCCAAAGGAGTGCTTTGGAATGTCCTTCAAAACCATTCTTGAGGACAACTTAAAGAAAGCTTGTTCAAGAGGGTTAAAATTGTGTTGAGGAATGGAGGTGGTCACATCATTATGTTTTCATCTATGTTTGCTCAATGCAATAAACTGCTTTACTTACTGTTGCTTTACTCAGTTTTTTTTTATTCCACCTAACTGTTTACCTACAAATAAACCCGCTGTTTAATCCTGTCCTTGTATTAACGTTATTAAATGAAATAACAAATCACTTAAGGCGGAAAAAAGCTTTCAATTGAGTGCCCTTTCAGTTCTTGTTCCGGCGGGTTTCTAATGCACTTGGCTTTTATTTAAGTGTCATCCTTAAAATCTTTAATCCATCATCCTTGAACGAGCCCTAGAGTTGAAATTGTGAGCCGTCAGATAACAGGAAACAGAAGAGACTAGCTGCCATAAGGTAAAAGACCCTCAAGAGGAGATAAAAACCGATGCCGATCACACTTTATAGCCCAGCTGTCTGTGTCTTTGTATCTGCCTGATCTTTTACTAATTACTATAAAAAAAACAGGCCTCAAAGTCAGAGGACACTCAGGCTGCTGGACCAGTGGAACAACTTAAATGAACACTGTGCATTTGTCACTATTAGATAAATACAGCCTAAAACATTACAGAGGGAGGATAATGGAGTAATTGATTTATTTCCCAAAGACACACAATAAGTATTATTTCCATTTAGTTAAACACTTGGCACTGGCCACCACAGATAAAGAATGACTCTGCTTCTTCATCAAATTTTGCACAACAGAGGGGGAAAAAAAAAAAACATCAGAACACATTAACTACTTTCCCGTAATAAAGATGGAGGGTTTGACTTTGCACGGCTCGACACACTTCTTAATGACTGCAAGAGAGCAGGAAAGTATAAGAATGCCTGTGAGATTATTTAGACAAAAGCTGCCAGAAGCTACAGCAGGAAGTCAGCGAAAGGATGCACACCCTGTCATCAGAGTGACTTCTGCTCTAGGGGTAATTTCAGCATCAGCACTCACAGAACCATCAAAAGCCATTAAGACTCCTGGATCAAAATTTGTGCGGGGAATAAACGCTTGCTGTTATTCTGACGGGTGATCAGTTTGCAATCAAAATGCTTAATGTCAGGAGCAAAGGGCACGCTCCTCATCGCTCCAGCAGTTCCTCGAATTTGCTCATTAACTCGGATTTAATCTGGTGCAGGTGTAATACCTGCGAGGGCGATCCCAAAAGTGCAGGCTTTTTTCTGTAAACGTAACAGATACGTTACTGATAAGTTGCTGTATGAACCAGTTAGCCTGTAGAGAGTTGTGCAAAAGTCTTGAGCCACCCGTTGTTTCTTTAATAAAAACCGAGAAATACGCTCTGTATTTTGTTGAGGCACATATAAACGGGATAGGTGATACAGGAAAAACTCATAATTTGTACAGATGATCTGGTGAAGCACCTTTATAACTGAGGAGCCTGAACCCTCTTAGTGAAGGTTTTTGAAAATGATTAAAATATAGTCTGGAATGCATCACCAGGTCGAAAAACATTCTAAATCTCTTCAACGAATGTCGACTGCCTTCAGTGATGTTGAGGTCCGGGCTCCAGGGGAGATTCTTTACTCCGTGAGACCTGTTGCCTCAAATTTTTGGGTTCACTTCTTGTGTCAATTGGTATTGTTCGGTCATTTATCCTTGTTTGTCTTTTCAGGGAAATGCTGTCTGAAAATGCTTCAGTGAACAACAGAAGGATCAGATGCATCTTTCAAGTCTTGTGTCCAGACTTTTGCATTTTTTTTCCTACTTTTGCTGTTGCCCTGTAATGTGTAACATAGCTTTTAGACTTTTTTATGCTTGAAATAGCTTTAAGAGGCATGACAACAACCTACCAAAACAATTACATTTGTCAGGTATGATACCTTGTCAGAAGATAATCTTTTGGAAGTCTGAAACAAATGCTAGCTGGACTGTATCCTGCTTTGAAGCAAAGTGGCTCAAGACTTTTGCGCAGTACGCAAAAGCTCCGAAGCGCTCACAGCCTTAACACCTAAACTCCTCACACACTCACATACTTTACACCGTGCACACACACACACACAGGTCTCACCTATAGATCTTGTAACGGGTGCTGAAGCCCTGCTGGTACCTCTCCAGAGCCTCGGTGAACTCCAGTGACTGGTGGAAGGGCCCTTTGTCCGACAGCAGCCACTCCAGGGACCCCGGGGCGCCTTCGCCTTTTCCGGCCGCCGTGGCTCCGGCCGCCGGTGCCGTGGAGGTCCAGCCACAGCAGAGCCAAAGGCTGAGAGCCACCCCCTCCCATAGCAGAGACAGCCGCTTATGACTGATTCTCTGACCGCTCATGCTTCACCCAGCGACACCTCATTCTCTCCGGACTTCGATGAGGAGAATTTCTTTTTTTCTTTTTTTTTTTACAGATGGAGAAAGTCGCGCTGACGTGAGGGATTGTCGGACATCATTTCAAGCCATTCCAGAAGTAATCATCAAACCTATCTGCCAAGGCGTTTTTTTAAATGATTCTCTCTTTAGGCTACGCCAGGATGACACTCACCTGATTTTGCTACATGAACCAAAAGATGCGCTTTGACTGTTAGATAGCACCTCTGATCCCCAGAGAATTACGCGCAACCAAAAGAAATAATAATAAAAAATCGTTCCGGTGATCCGCGTAGATTAAATAATGATTATGAATGAGTCCCGCCTTTCAAGCCCCTGAGTCCAACAACTTCTTTTCTTTTTTTCTCTCTTGTGTTTGTGGCTCAACTTCGGTTTGACAGACGACCCTGCAGCACCCGCGAGTGTCGCTGCGCTCCGGCGCGAAGTTCCAGTAACGCCGAGTTCATTCTGAGGATGTCCGCGCTCCCGGAGACGTTTCCGGAGTTAGAGCCCGGCAGGACACATGGCATCATCCCGAATGAAATCCCTCTTTTGTTATTGTTGTTGTTTTTGTTGTTAAAGTTGCTGCCTGATTGCGAAATCTTGCCATACGCTGCGTTCGGGGTGCTCTGGTTTCTCTCCTCGTGCCGTGCGAGCTGGTGGATGAATGAGCGCCCTCTCCAACAAAGAGAGCTTTTCTTCCCCAGTTTTTTCTCTCTCTTTTTTTTTTCTCCAGGAGAGATAGCAAGAGGGCGAGCAAGTGCATCTTGATGAGGGCGATACATACAGTGAATATGATCACGGAGTGCTGAAGTTTAGGAGAGGGTGGATGATGATGATGCATCGGGACCGTCTCTATCATCTATCCTTACATTCCCTGAATCCTCATTATGTGCCCCCACAGCTGTCTGACAGTGTTGAACATTTAAAGCCTTAAACAGATTCTCCTAATGGGCTAATTATCTTCTGGTGTTTTTTTCCCCCCCTCCATTATTGTGCTGTGCCACTGCTGCACCACCTGCAGTGTGCAAAACAAAACCAGCCAACCTCGCCTTTAGGTTCCTGTATTTAAGCAATGTAAGAGGTTTGGGTGGTTCAGTTACAGGAGTGCAGTATCCTGCTCTTCCAAAAGCATCTAAAATCAAACTAAAAAAGAAATAAGAAGCTACTTTTCCACCTTAGAAAGTAGCCGTAGCTCAAATATTCAAAATAGGTCTTTGGCCTGTGACTATGTTTAAACCCTCCCTATATTTTCCTTATGATTCTCATCCATTGTGGCTTTTGTTTTTTTAGGCCAATCCAGATAGTGCATTTCTGTCTGCGAGTGTCCTCAGGGGCAATTGCAAAGTGGCCTCAGGTAATCTCTCCAAAACATGAATGTTGGGTGATGCTGGGAAGTTGTCATAAACCCTAGTTTAGTTGCAAGGAGAATATAGAGACGGCAACCCCATTGGAAATAACCAGGAAATGGAAGGATGGATGGATGGATGGATGGATGGATGGATGGATGGATGGATGGATGGATGGATGGATGGATGGATGGA